CCCCAAAACCCCAAAACCCCAAAACCCCAAAACCCCAAAACCCCAAAGTGTTCTTCAGAACTGAACCTTCCCTAAGAAATTCTTCAAAACCCTTAAAAATCTATACAAAATACAGTACGATTTAAGGAATTTAGCAATTTTTGAAGGAAGAAGGGCTGACTGGCTGACACTGTTCCAGGCGGAGAAGATGGGAAGTGGGGAGAATGGGAGAGGGGCAGGTGTAGGGGGAGGAGGATTGGGTGGCTTGGGGGGGTAGGGGGTATAGGTGGAGTTGTGGAGGATTAAGGGGAGTGGTGGGGAAGGGAGGTAAGAGATGGAGGTTGGGAATTTTGAAGGAGTAGAGAAGGGATGGGCTGTATAAGGGGATTGTATGTGAGTTTGGGGTATTTTAATTTAGGGTAAAAATTAGGATTAAATGTGTTAGCAAGGATATGGTTTATGGAAATTAAAAATAAAAGAGGTAAGCTTAATATCAAAATTTTAGGAGAAATTATTATGCTGTTTCCATCATGATGTTGTAGAACATTTCAAAATCAACATGGTCATCTTTGCCAGAGTCAAATTTCTTGAGTAGTTCATTTAGTTCTTCATCACTAACTTTCTTTCTACGCTCATGAATTATTTCTCTAAGCTCATCAATTGAGATTAATCAGTCTCCATTAGAATCAGTAAATGAAAAGATCTCGATCAGTTCATCTTCTGTTTCAGTAGTAGTTTCACCTTTACCCATCTTCTTAGCCATTATAGCTAAAAAATCTAAAAAAGTCAAAGTTTCTTTATCTCCTGCCCCTATCTGATTGACTAAATCATCAACCAAAGCATCAACTGGGTTTTCTCCAATATGCCTCATAACAGATTTAAGGTCTAAAGTAGAAATAACCCCACTGCTATCCTTATCAAAACTATTGAAGGCATCTCTGAACTCTTCAAGCTCATATTTATCAAAAGCGTCTTCTAATGACATATTATTTATCACTTATCTTACCTAATTTTCCCTTATATACCCCCTCAGATCCTTCTTTCAACCAGATTTCCCAAAATCGGGGTTTTGGGGTTTTGGGGTTTTGGGGTTTTGGGGTTTTGGGGTTTTGGGGTTTTGGGG